GAATAAAACAAAACCAAGATTCTGAGTTACAGAACCAGTTCAGGTTTTAAGTTAAAGACCCAGTAGAATAGGAGCCCAGGTTCTGTTTTCAGCATCCAATCTGAGTCAGATTACTGAATGTAAACTGCAAAGATGTGTAATTAATTCCGTTAAGTGCTGTTTGTTTCTACCGATTGTGTTGTTCCCCTCGGAGGTGGACCAGGACCCCTTCAGTTTTGTGAAATTAGATCAAAGTATTTCAGAGAAATCTGTGAAATATTTTTAATAGATATAAAATCTGGAGTTCAGTTTTCATCCCAGCAGGATAATCTTTGTGTGTTTTTGTTTTATTACCATACCATACGCTGTTAATTATTTACAGCGCTGAGCCTCTGGTCAGCTGAGGAGTTTGACTGGACCAATTTACTCCAGGCCTTATCTTTACTGTCAGCTGCCAATAAAAACTTTAAATGTTTCACTTTACACCTTAGTGAGTTTGCTTTTTTTGTCAGACCAACACAAAGCAGTTCCTAACTCTAAACTTGAAGGAAAATTATCCTTTTTAAAAAAAAAAAAAATTTAGTAGAAATGAAAATCTGAAACGTGTGGCATGCATCTTCTAAGTCAACTTCCCGCAGATTGGAACGTCTACAGACTGAACATTTTCTCCATTCTTCTTCATAAAGCCCCTAAACTCTGTCTGGATGTTCAGGCTGGCTCTCCTGCTGGAAGCTGAACCCAGTCTCAGCCTCTAACTGGTTTTCCTCCTGCTCCGTCCATCCTGCCACGGCATGATGCTGCCACCACCATGCTTTACCATGAGGGTAGTGTGTTCAGGGAGATGTGAAGGGTTAGTTTCCCTCCACACACATAACACTTTGTAAGTTTTGTTTTGGTTCATCCATCATCATCCAAAGTGCTTTTCAAAGTGGGGGTTGCAGCCCCTGGGAGGCCGCCAGGGGATTCGTGGGGGCCACAGAAAGTTTGAGAAAAGATGAGAAAAACATGCAAAAATAAATAAATAATGTCATAATAACTTTTGTTTGTTTTTCAATCGTTTTTAAAAAATTTATTATAAGTTAGAGTAATTGCTTTAAATGTGCTTTCTGATGCTCATTTCTGATTGACTGCCAGTCAAATTCATCAAGCTACATTGCTTGTCAAGCTAACTTAGCAAGCAAGAAATGGAAACGTTTCTGACAAGAAAGAAAAGGAACTGTAACTGTGGGAATAAAATAAATTTGATGTGATTAATATAAAGTATTACATATTTTCTTATAGTCAAAGCAGGAAATCATGATGAAAATGTATATTATTATCTGATAAAAAAAAAAGTCGTAATAAATCATCTGATAATCAGAGTTTCCCCCAATCTATTATAAGCCTGGCGGGCCACCAGGCTCTACTTGCCGAAAAGTTGATGTTTATTTACATATATTGCAGCATTATTTATGAATCTGCATGCAGGCTCTGGGGCTCAGGGTTGAGCTCCTGTAATCAGTGGTGTTTGTTCTCACGCTCCCTCGCTGATTGTTTGGAGGTTTTCTGCTAATGACTCCATCTCTCCCTGCTTCCTGCTCTCCGTCCATCTGGGCCCAGATTGCCGAGGGAAACACCTTCTCGCTGATATTTTTACCCTCAGCCAGAGGTATTGTTTACAGTCTCCGACTCCGCTTGTATTTTTATCTGCCAATGGAGCCGGAGCAACGCGATCAGCTGGAGAATGCGCGTATTCTCCGGTGTGGGTGTGACGTAATGATCCTGTTATGTAGAACCAGATTAAATAAACCTAACCCAGACGGTTTAGACATGGAGTTTCAGACTCCAGTGTGTGAAAGTCCTGATCCAGTCAGATTTTCTTTTGTTGCTGATTAAATTTCAGTTCCAGCTTGGAAATGCTTTATTACTTTCATAAATAACTGAAGGAATTTATTATATGTGGAGAGAAAAACTAAGTTGGGCATCTAGTTCCCCATTTCTAGGTGTGGCTCCTTGGTAATCAACCCAAAACATTCAAAGGTAAAGAAATATCTGCAGAGATCAGATCATTTCTCTCTTTTAAAGACCTGGAGACGAAGACGGGAGTCATTTCAACACCAAAGAGTTTCATCCATCCATCCGGCAGCAGATTGAGTCTTTATGTCACAGATCTTGTTGATAACTTCCGGTCCTTTTTAACAAAGTTACCTTATTAAAACTTGAATTTCTCTCCATGACTCTTCCTGTTTCAGGCTCATTTGATCCCAGCATACCTGATGAGGGCCCATCGCCTTCTGGATGGCTGGGGGACATGGATGGAAACCAGGACCAAGAAGGAGGAGGTGAGCCTGAGTGCTAGCTTTGTGGCACCATGTTGTGAGTGGCAAACTAATCTTGGCATTAGAAGAAATGAGCTGTAAGCTGGTTCTGGTCCAAATGAACCAGGTCCATTATGTTTATTTAGCAGTGATGCTAGCACCCAGAAAGTGGTGCTGCTGCTGCTGGAGGGAGAGAGAGAGAAAGTACAGGTAATTTTAAGAAGTTTATCACCTCAAAGGCTTGTGTGAAACCTTTGTTTTATTTGTGAAAGTTCAATAAGAAGCCATATTTGTACATTCACAAATGACACTAAATATTCTGCTTCTAGTGTTACATAATCTAATCCATGTTGGAAAATCTACGTATTGAAGTTTTTACACTAGAGCAAATTAAAATGTTGAAGGTTGTAATAATTAGGTGAACTCACCTTTTAACCAACTTCAGCTCTGTAATATTCATTATGTTTATGCTTGGTATTGTGATGGATTACAATAATCTCTCTCTAAAAATAACACGTCAATGCATCTGATGTATGTACCTTACAGATATTGTATGCCAACCATTTTTGAAAAAAGTACAAACTGGGGATGACCAGCCTAGCCATTTAGCCAATGAAAAGCTAACAGAGCAGAGAAGAGTCTATTCATGAGCTTCAGAAGAGGAAAACCACCATGAAGTAAAACCATTTTCACCTTATTGTGTTTCAGACTCATTTGATCCAAACATACCTGAAGAGGGACCATCAGCGCCCCCTCCTGGATGGCTGGAGGACATAGATGGATACCAGGGGCATAAAGAAGGTGAGAGAAAGAGAGAGGGAGAAGAGAGCTGTTATGTTCCTGCTGAATATGTGCAATGTGCATGTGCAATGTGCAACTGAAGAGTCTCATGGTGCAACAACATTACACATGTTCACATATCTGCCCCTCACAATATGGAGGAAGCTGACATACGACCAAAGTTATTAAAGTTAACAAAAACTAACGAAATAATGAAAACTGAAATTGAGAAAACATTTTCCTTAACTGAAATAAGTAAAAGCAGTAATTAGTTGGGAAATTTTTTAACTAACTGGAATTATATTATGCGCTTATAAAACTAGGTAAAACATACTGAAATTATACATATAACATTCTTTGTTTTTGTCTTTATGAATCTATTTATTGACCTTTCAAACTGATGTTAAATAGATTTTTTTGCCCCCAAAAGTTTTTTATGTCAGTTTTTGGCAAATTACGGCATTCCATCATGGCAGCGTTTACTAAGTCTGCAAAATGGCAACAGCAAAAGTTGGGAGAAAACGCCAGAGTCCGTTGGTGAAAATGGTATCTTCTGTTGAGTATTTATCACCCAATTGATTCATACATAATCACAATAATTTACTTTAATCTTTCTGAAAAATTAACCAAAGTATGAAAAAACTAAAAACAACTCTACTTTTAGTATCTGATAAAACAATTGCACAGTTTTAGTTACTGAACATTGAAAACATAGTTATTTACAAAATAAGCAAACCAAACCTTGTGCCTCTATGAAGAGGGCTGCTAATAACAAGCTACATTTTATCAACTCTGCTGCAACTTTTCATCCTCTTTTGTTGGATGAACAAAAGAGGTTTATTAACTTCTGGTTAACAAACCAGAAGTTGTATTTTCAAAATAAAAGCATCAGACATAAAATCAGAAGTTAATCATAGATAGAACATATAAAACAAAGTAAAGGTGATGATCCATAAAAAGGGATACAGACAAATAAAGAGCTTAACTTTGGGTTATTTACAACTATAACTAATAAAAACTAAACATTATTTAACTAATAATAACGAATAAAAAACAGAAAACACTATAAAAATTAACTGAAATAAACTGAATTAGATAAACAAAACCTAAATTACAGTGAAAAGCCCATTACGACCCTGCATAAGGCCTGACTTCCTGTCTGTCTGAGTGTGAACGTGGGTCCACTTCCTGTCTCCAGGTCCAGAGGACGACGAGCCGCTGTACCCTCCGCCCCCCGCCTACAACCCCCGGCCTGAGGTCAACAGGAGCACCTCGGTCCCCACCATCCGGTAAGATCGGGCCGGTCTGGGCCTGACAGCAGCTCCAGACAGGGTTAACCCGTCCTTCGGTTTGTCCCCAGAGTCCCGTCCATATCGGAGGACATGGCACGAGACGCTTTGCTCAGGTTTGTTGAGTCCAAATGGAAGTACAGCTCCAAACCGGCCAGGAACCTCACTTTCAAGGACCTGAAGACCGTCACCGTCTACCGGGTCAGAATCCAACCTCTGTCTGCCACAGCAGCCTTTGGACAGATGACCTGGCTGCTTGATGCTAAGAAAACATGTAGTAAAATTCATTTAAAGCTTTTCTAAAAATATTTTTCTACAAATTATTTTTTATATTTACCATATTGTGACTGCATGGTGTGAGACACATAATCTGGGAAAAGTTGAACTCCTCTGCCTTCACCCAGTCCAAATTTGAAACTACCAATCAGAGCCAGGAGGCGGATCTTAGCACTGTCAATCATAATCTGTTAGCTACTGCTAATAGATCCTATTGCAAATGCTAAAGCTAGTTACCTTAGCCAATGATGACAGTATTTCGTTTTCAAACTAAATACTTAACTCCAAATTATGTATATATTTTCCTAACTAAATACTTAATTTCTGAACTAAATATTTAATTTTCAAACTAAATATTTATATTTCAAGCTAGATATTTAGCTCTAGAGAGCGCTAAATATTTAGCTTGCTCAGTAAATATGGAGGTCCTAGCTAAATATTTAGTTAAAATGCAAATTAGTTTGCAATTAGTTAGAATTTTGATATTCCACTTCCGCTTATCGGTAAGCCAATTTGCATTTCGCTAAATATTTAGCTTGAATCTAAATGTTATCGTCTTCATCCATTTTCTCATCTTCCTCCCTCAGTATCGACTAGAGACGTACACTGAGACCAGAACCAGCGCCTGGCAGTTGGAGCCCTACAACGGTAAACCTTCTCTACTAACCAGAACCAGTTCAGGTCTGTGTTACAGCAGCTCTGAAGACGCCTCTGACTGACTCTGGTAATCTCATGAAGAGGATTAGCAGCGTTATGAAGCACCATTCTTTCCGTGTCTGTGTGTGGTTCTGGACCAGGCCAGGCGGTGGACGGGCCCCAGTACGGGGCGAGCCCCCCACCGTGGGACATCCCGGTGTCACCGCCGCAGATGTACTGCAACAAGGTGGAGAAGATCCGAGTGCCACACTCGTCCTTCGTGAAGGTCCAACTAGGGTTATAATAGTTTTGGGTGTTTCATTATTGTTTAGTTATATTTTGTTTTGCCTAATTCAGTTAGTTTTAATAATTTTTTTTATTAGCTAAATATTGTTTAGTTTTTATAGTAGTAGTTTAAGTTTTTTACACTTTGGTTAAATTTTTGAGGTGCAGAATTTAAAGAGGTTAAAATATTGTGATTATAACTAAGTAATAAAAAATACTATTTTCCAAAGAGGGTTATGGTGTCTTGTGACTCCGCCCCCTACCTGGCCCAGCAGTCGCTCTCTCTGTTTGTTTTTCAGGTGTGCCATAAATGCCACGGCTGTGGGAGGACACGCTGCGGCGGCTGCTTCGGCCGAGGAATGGTGAGCTGGAACCTTCAACTCATAGTTTCTTATTTAACTAAACACCACAATTGCGAAATTTTGTTTTTCAACATTTGTGGAACATCGACAAAGTCCCATTTGTATTGTCATATGTACAAATAACACATAACACATGGTTATGTGTTAACCATATGTTAACCATATGTTAACATATGGTTGGTTGGTTCCGATATATTGTGCGTCTTCTGCTGAAAATGGATCAGCTTTAACAAACTCCATCTCTCTCCTTGTTTCTCAGAAACGCTGCAACTTCTGCCACGGTAACGGGCGGGCCAGAAAAAAACGCTGCACTTCCTGTCACGGCCGAGGCCGCCGCAGGTGAAAACGCTTCTTTATGCTTTAACGTCCTGCTGAGGGGTTTAGCTCAAACTGCAGAGTTTAGATTACACATCACCATGACAACAGAGCAAGTTAGACCTCATCACCATGACAACAGAGCAGGCCGGATCTTATCACCATGACAACAGAGCAGGCCAGACATCATCACCATGACAACAGAGCAAGTTAGACCTTATCACCATGACAACAGAGCAGGCCGGACCTCTGGTATCTTCTGCTGCAGCAGAACTAGAACCAGCAGCTGAAGGAGGCTTAACAAGCTGTTCTGTTCTGGTTGTAGTTCTGGTTCTGTTCTGGCTGTCGTTCCTGTTGTTGTTCTTGTTTTTGTTCTGGTTCTGTTCTGATTCTGTCCTGGTTCTGGTTCTGGTCCTCCTATCTTCCACCCGCTTCGTTCTCCAGGTGACTCCATGTTTGTTTCTCCAGGTGTGTCAGTTGCCGTGGAGACGGCTACAAGACCTGCTCTGTTTGCCACGGCGCCCAGAAGCTGCTGCACTTCATCCAGCTCACAGTCACATGGTGGGCTAGCTGAACACTCGCTCTCCTCTGACCCAGTTCCGACCCGTTTGGACCTCACCGTGTCCACCTGTTGTTGCCGTGTTTCCAGGAAAAACAATGTGAGCTGCTTCATCCCAGACCGCCAGCCGAACTTCCCAGACAGGAAGTTTGAGAAGGTGTCAGGCGACCCGTTCTTCATCGACGAGAACGTTCTGGTGAGACCAGCCGGTTCCGCCAGGTCCAAACTCTGTCAGTCGAACGCTAACATTAAAGGGTTTTAGAATATCAAAGAGCTCAAGAACATGAAAGTGGTAAAACGTGTAACGTGTTACCATGGTGACCTCTCTCCAGGTGTATCCAATCCACGGCTTCCCTGACCAGGAGATCTGCGACGTTTCAGCCAAGCTGATCAACGATCACCTGTATCGCTTCACTTCCACCAGCCGCATCCTCCAGCAGGTACACACCTACCTTCTGACACTTTCAGGACTGCTGGGGCTCAGAAAGTTCATAAAAAGTAAGTGCACCCTTTTGAGCAGAAGATGAGCTCAGTGCATCGACTATTAACCCATTTATCACTTTTAAATGATTTAAATCAACAAACAACTCTCAGCCACTGCGGGAAACCCTGAAGCTACCTCTCTAAAGTCATTGGTGATGTCTTATCACTATGGTATTGCATTACCAGACATTGCATGACCTCCTGACCTCTGTGTCCCTCCGTAGCGTCAGACCATCGAGCTGGTGCCCCTCACTCACGCCTTTTACTCGTACGCCGGGAAGGACTACAGCTTCTACGTGTACGGGACGGAGAAAAAGGTCTTCACTTCCAAGTATCCCACCTCCTGCAGCATTTTATGAGCTCAGCATGCAGGAAAACACACACAGATATACCCAGATCACTGCTGACCTCTGACCCCACATTGTACATACATATTTTTATCTGTGATTAAAAGAGTTATGAACTGCTTTAAACATGCTGCATCATGTTGGACCTTCAAGGTCAAATTAGAAAATGAAAAACTTTCATCTGTTCTTTTAGACACCTCCAGGTGTTTAGTAGAAAATTTTGTGCTGAAATTATTTTTAGAAGACAATCTAATAGTTTGGTTGGTTGCAACGAGTTGAATATTTCCACTAAAATATTCATATAAATCTGAGGAGAGCCAGAGGAAGCAGGTTCTTCAGACTGCAGAGGGTCAGTTTGGGTCAGATGGAGTAAAAAAGCTCTAATGGGTCATTAAAAACCAAACCTGAACAGAACCGAGGCACTTGGGGATCCAGCATACCTCCCCCTACTGGAAACCTGAGGTATTACCAGCAAATTAAACTAGATCCGTTTATCACATTAAGGCTCAGAGTAAAAAAAAAAGTTTATTCTTCAATATTTGTAACATTTATTATTTATATCAGTTTGAAATGAACAAAGGAAATATTTTCATGTTTTAAACTTGTTGCTGTTTCATTGAACAGCTGATAGAGAAAAAATAAGCTTTAGTGGAACCGGCTCAGCGCCTCTGACTGTACATAAAATGTTTGTTAAAAACATGAAGAAACTTCTCCTGGTTTATGAGAACAAAACAGTTTTTATGTGTATTTTATTGATCGTTGAAGATTTCACCACTGTACTGTTATATATGTGACTGTGAGACAAATAAAACTATATTTTATACATCAATAAAGAGAATTTGTTACTTTATTTTAACTTCTAGAAACATTTTGGTAGAAAAAAAACAAATTCTGATATTTAAGTGAGGTAAAGTTTATTTTAAATAAAATGTCTCTCATAATGCAGTGTTTATGACTTCCCACCAAGATAAACATTCAACCAAACATTTATATATTATATGAATGTCTTTGGAACAAGAAGTTTACATACAGAATGATTACTGAACTATTGTCCTTTATGTTGTTGAGGAGTCATATTCCAGATTTAATATAAAAATCACAAACATTCATCATTCAGGTCTGGATTCTGTAGAACTCGACTCATCATGAGAGAAAAGGAGACGCATATTTCCAGAAATAATTTCTCACAACTTGAATAATTTGGACTTTTTGTTCTTCATGCTGAGAACATCAAAGCTGCTGTTTGATCACCGAGATCTTCATCGGTAAGAGTTTTACTTCAGCAGTGCTGAAATATGGAAACATCTTGTCAGTGAAGGTGTGTGTGAAGGTGTGTATGTGTGTGTTAGTATCCAGATCAGAGAACGACAGCTTTCCTCCATCCCAGTCCAGATTCACTCTGATCCTCTGGATCTTCTTCATGACTGAGAGAAACGTGGGAGGAGCTGGTGGAGAATATGCTTCGTATTCACCATCAATGAACAACATAACCAACAATCCAGACTCTAAGTGTCCCTTCCTCTGGACAGACTCTGCTATCACACCAAGCATCCATCCTTCACCATCTCCAACATCAACATCCCAGCTGTGGCTCCCTGAGTTAAAACGCTCAGAGCTCAGAACAGACCACTCAACATCAAATCTCTCTGGATTATCAGGAAGCTGCTGTTCTTCTCCTGGAGTCACACCAGTCAGATCGTCAGTCAGGTGGAGTCCTGGATTAGCCGTGTTTGGGTCCAGAACCAGAGGAGTGTAGGTCACCATGTCCTTCATGTTGCTCCAGATGTTGAAGGCCAGGTTGCCCAGATGTTTGGCCTGGTCTATCAGAGCTCCTGAGGGCAGCTGTGGATCCTCCAGCAGGGGGCAGCGCTGGACTCTTTCCACTGCAGCCTTGTAGTTGTGCAGGAATGAGACGTCTGCAGCTCTCAGCTCCTCCTCTGTGGCTCTGACTGTGTCTGAAAGAGCTGCTGCTGTCTGATCAAACTTCTTTTTAACTTTCTTCCTGAGCTCCAGCTTCTTCTTTAAAAACTCCAGAGATGTTTTCAGATTCTCTCTGTGATCCTGAGCAGCTTC